CAGAGTGGATTAAGCCAAAGACAGTTCATTGAAATTTGTTTCCTCAAAGTTTCTCATAATTCCTAAGGATGGAGTTGGATATTAACATCCACTTTCTCTTTTTATATTATATATAGCTTATTATCTATAACTAGCCTTAGGGCAACTGTTTAGTAGAGTACGTAGTTCTCATTCCAAATATTAAAGATGGTAGTTCACAGTGAATCTTGGCGATTGTCTGTCTTAGAACCCAAGGTAAAGCACCCTTCATGTTTTTTCAAAGAATAAAAACTAGGCTGTATACCTCAACTCACTAACCCATCAAAACTCTGCTACCCAACATGAGCAAACTCATAAAAATGACTTCCTTTAAGAATACTCAATTAACATGTCTTACTTCTATCTTAGGAATGGATATCATACTTTCATTTCATTTGCACTGTATCTATTCATGTGTTTATTTTCACCACAAGATTGCAAGGTCCTCATTGGCGGGGATGATATCATCTTTGTACCCCTAGTATCTGGAATAATACTCCAAGCATTTTATTATTGGGAATAAATGTCTTTTAAAAGTACCACTTTTAAAATAGAAGATTTTTAAAATGAAATAATTTTACTAACACATTAGTTAATAGATAGCACCGTACCATAGACCAGCCAGTCAGGGGCTAATATAGTGGAAAGAAAGAAGTCCACCTAGAATAAGGAAAAAGTATAAAAGGTCAACTGATTTTTCACTTTGTTTTGAGACATTCCAGGTCATAATGTTTTATGCTTACTGAGACAGCTTACATGATAAGCTGTGACCATTCCTCAGGAAGTTGGAAAGAAATAAATTCTTGTACAAATATCACTCCCAATGGTAGTTGTTCAACATGAGCACATGTATTTGAAATGAAAGCATAGGCCAAGGCCCCTTAGGGAATATAAACAGATATCAACAATGATTCATAGTTACCAAATTAAATGAAAAAGGAGGTGTTTTCTATATGTTTCCTGCAACCCCTGTGTTTTCTTTTGTGCTTGAAAGCAGTTCCAAGCCTTGGCATTGTGACTAAGCTTAAAAAAGAGTTCTCCTGAAAGTGCTCCCCATTTCTCAATAACTAAGAGAAAAAGAGATCAGCCAGTATTTTAGGTTATTCATTCTCATTTTTAACACCAACATAGCTGCTAAGCAACTTTAATGGCAAATATTAGATTTGTTATTTGAAAAAATGAATTTAATTAAAATTGATCAATATAATTCATTGGTCATTTATTTAAAAATGAATGTTCTTTATACCAATTATAAAATCATTCTGAAATTTGGCTAGCACCAGAAGTGGAAAATAATTTTTAATCATTTAGAAATTTAGAGCTGTACCAGACAAGTCACTGATGTGAAATTTAGCAGCCATGAGAAGGTAAATGGGAATTTACTAATAAGCAAACTTTTTAAATCTGATGGATTGGTAAGGCTTGAAAATCATTGTCAGTTGTTCTAAGAGTTCATCCAGGTTTCTTAATAACAAGTTTAGGACTTAGGCAAACTGCTCTTCTTTTTTGTTTTTTAATCCAAAGTGTATATTTTATATGATATTATTATAATATAAAGGTAAAAAATGAAATGAGTTTGGGAAGTAATGAATTAATGCAGTCCTTCTCAGAGCCTTTAATATATTAATGTGGGCTATGACTCTGAGAAGAGGGAGTTATATGTGGCCCAAACTCTTTTGACTATTTTACTAGTTATCTACTGCCACAATAATTCCAGATGGTAAACCACACCAAAACTGTGTCTCAGAACAATCATCATTTATTCTTATAGAGCTGAAGTTTGACTGGAACACTTCTGGTTCAAGCAGCAGGCCTGGGAATTTGTGTTTTCTATGCTTCTCTTATCCTCCCTGGCTTAGCAGGCTAACCAGGACATGTTCTTCTTGGACAATGCCAGAGGTACAAAAGAGGCAGTGAAAAGGCAGTAAGTTTCTTAAGTCCTACTGCTGAAATTGTCATACTGTTTCTGTAATCTCTATTCAGCTAGACAAAGCAAGTCACATAGCCAAGCCCAAAGTCAAGGAGTGATGAAATATGCTCCATCTGTGATGAGGCCATTGCAAGGAGTGGATCCAAGGAGGGGTTAAAGAGCTAGGACCAACAATTCTCTCACAACAAAACCCTTTGTTTATGGATCATCTCATGGAACTAGTGCTCCACAGGACATGCTTTCAGAAACACTGCAATATCTCACTGTTTTTTATGCAATGCTTATGTTAGTGGGCACAAAATGACATCTGACTAACTTCCTGAGAATTTCCTAATTCAGGCTAATTTCCTGAGGTGCTGCAGCCTGAGAGACATTTTAAAACATTATAATCTAAATGGAACCCACTACTAGATTCCTAGCAGAAATTCTTCATGTTAATTGGTCTTTAAAATCCCTTCTGTTGTCAAAGCTCAATGAAAATTCAGTTCATAGAATCAATATGGACACAGTGGGTTCAGTTTAGAGAGAAATCATTTTCCTAGAGAACCTCAGTCAGGATTCTGTAAAGGATTTTGGAGGGAATCAGATCCTTTGATAGGAGTGGATGATTAAGACTAAGTTCTCAGAGACTGTACTTCGAGGAAGTGCAGAGCCAAAGACCAAGCTGGGTAGCAGATGATTGCAGAGACAAGTAATATCCCAGCCCAGGCTAGTGAGGAGCTCAGGAACAGCCTGGGTCCTCAGAAGAAAGCCATGCCAAGTCAGCACAGAGATGTTCCTGAACAATCCCTTAATGAGAAGGAATAGAGATCAGAACGCACTGCGGGCACTCTGCAGTCTATGGTATATATACGCGTGGAACACAATAAGCCTCATTCTCATCAGCATGTGGGGTCAGTCATTGGACCAATCTCTTTTATTGTTATAAAACCATAATTAATGAGACTCACCAAAAATCCTTGAACCAAATGAAAGTTTTTCTGATAAGCATAGTCAGAAGTCTGTAGCCATAGTAGGAAAAAACCAGGTCAGCAGGAGCTCTGCCCACAAAGCCACCTCCCAACACATAAATTGCCAGTAAACTGAAGTGCTTTGTCTGACAAACTTCCCAGTTTCCAGCTGAGAAAAAAAGGCAGGGACTTTAGAGGGGTGGGATTTTAACTGGGCATTCTGGCTCCCCTACCATTATCTAAACCATGTGACCTCATCAGAAAGCTCAAGGTCCTGCGTGAAAATTGGGTGGGATTCTATTTCCGGTTCAGCCTCTGTTTCACTGTCTATGGTTTACTGTAACTTTTAACCTCAGTTTCTTTATTAGTAAAATGGGATAACACCCATCTTGTGTACCTGCCAATTATTATAAAAATAAAGAATGTAATGATACTTTTTAAAGTATACATAAAAAGTGGCACTAAAATGTAAGATGAGGCCACATATCCTCCATTGACATCAATGGAAATTGACAAACATAAGCAAGGATGCAATTAGGCCTCATATGCTAATGTTTTCCTAAATAGTGATCTCTAGCACAGGCTTTCTAGCCACCAGTGCCCTATAAAACACAATACAATATATTGGGCTAGGAAAAAAAAAGTATTCTTCACTTTTCAATTTGGCAACAACAACAAAACGATATTTATTCATCCTTCATTGAGAGTACATAATTAGATAGAATTTGTCAACATCATCATCCTCATCATTATCAATCACTGGAACAAAGAATTGAAGTAGCAAAAATTGGCATTACCAATATCCCTGTCTTTTTTTAAAATAGATTGCCTACAAGTGAGAACTTCAAGACAAGCCACTCTGAGTTTTCTTTGAAATGACTTAACATTTGGTCACGGATAGAAAAGTTGAACAGGAAAATATACTTCAAGATTTTAACTTGGAAAAAACATGAGGTGTATAAACTCATAGTGGGCTGAATTTTTATATTATCGGAGAACTTGAAAAAGGCTTTTCCACAAGGGTATTGTAGAGGGGGTTTAGATAATCAGACTGATAAATGGGTCAGGTGTTTCTTCTTGTTTTTCTTTCCGAAGAGATGGTTTGAAATCTCCCACTTTGAAATCCAAATTCTCTTTAAATTTAATCTCCCATACTCATATCTCCTTGGTTTTTCTGAGATATTTTAGAGATGATGTCTTTTTGCACAAACGCTAACTCTAGGGCGACTTCCAGTTCTGAAATGTATAATCATTAACTCTACACTTGCTTTAAAAATTTTGAAATTTTAACCAATGTCACTAACCTTTCAAGTTTTTCTCGTTTTCCTAACTTAATGTGAAATACAGGACATTTTGCCATGCCACTCTGACTACTCACACTATAGATGAAGGAAGGATTCTGAAAGGTGCTATAATGACTATAATTATCATAGGACCACATATTGAGCACTAACTACATGCCAGGTCTGATTTGAGGGCTTTTGCATATGTCAAGCCAGTGAAGCCTCTTAGCATCCCTGGGAGGGAAGTTTTACAATTCTGGTAGTACCAAATGAGCAACTGAGGATTAGAAACATTAAAGAATCTGCCCAAGGTCATATGCCTAACAGTAAAGGATAAAGCTGTGATGGAATGCGGGGCGGGCTGCCTGTCTCCAAAATCGTATGAGGCTCCCTTGGGTGGGAAGTGATCCAACTCCAGCTTCGTCCTTGTCACCTTATTTGCTAAGTAGCCACTAAGGACAGCAGATTTGATCAGGGTGCAAGCATGAAGCTCAAGATCATTATAGCAGTTGTACTGGGTGGATTAAAAGTTCGTGAAAACAAAACAAGTTCCTTGGTGGTATTATAGGTTTCTTCTTTCCTCTTTCCTTTCCCCCTGCCCTTCCTTTAAACCTTTGGTACATCAATAAACATTTGATCATATAAAAAGAAGGTCGGGTTTCTATTACTGCTTAGCTGAAAACACCTACAAATGTTCACAGGAACTTTAGAGACTACCGAAGTCAAGAAAAGCACTTGAAAATAAGAAAAAAAAACAAGCTCCGCGAGAGCAGAGATGCCTTCAGATTTTATTCGCGAAGGCACCCCACGCTCCTAGAAAAGAGCATGATGCACCCGATGCTCGGATTGGATGAAGTGACAAAGGTAGCCCCGCTGGTTCGGGCGTTTGGCTGTTCCTGTGTCTTGACTCCCGCTTTGGAAATAGAGGTAGGGCTGGCTCCCAGTCGGTCCCAGAGACCCTCCCACTCCTCCCCCACCTTCCCGCAGCTGGGACCCGCTTCGAGCTGTTTTTGGCCACGCGCGCTTATCGGATAGACCTGCAGTCCCGCAGAGAGGAAGGGCGCCCGGGCCGCCAGCCGCGCGGGGAGGACGCCAGCACCCAGGTGACGTCCCGCGGGCCGCCGCGAGGGGGGCCGGGCTCGGGCGTGGGCGCGCCCCAGGGCGCGGCGGGAACGGCCTGGCGCCAGCTCCACCAGTCGCCCCTCCCCGGGGCTGGCTCGCCGGTAGTGTCTGATTATTGGGGGATCCCTCTCCATCCCAGAAGGTACAAAGTTTGGCTCTGTGGAGGCACCTCCGCCACGGAGCGGGGCGGGTGGGTGGCCGGCTAGTTTCGTACTCGGCAAAGAAAATGGAAACACAGGTGGGAAAAGAAAGAGGGAGTGGCTTTCCGGGAAGCAGCGGCCCGGACCGAGACCGCTGGAGCGCGCGGGGCTAGTTCATCCCGGCTCTCCATGGGGACTAAAGAGGCAGAACTAAAGTGGCGAAGGCGAGGAGGCGATCACTGGCTTGTTTGCTAAGAGTTCGGGAAGGCTTTTTTGAACTAGAAAAGACAAATTTAGTTCTTCCTCCAGGTAGATCCCCGTGTCTCCTGTACGCGCCTCCGGAGGGACTTCTGTGAAGCCCCCCTACCCACTTAGTTAACTTAGTTAATATTACTCCTCTGTCACAGGACTCCTGCATGGTCAGGTCATCTGCACTCCTCAATGGCCCTAGGGAAGTTAGCTGTCAGAGAACTGGGGAGGGGGGCAGGAGGTAGCCTAGGCCCTTGCAACTCAGCTGGGGTTTCTGACAGCCTTTGAAAAACTCTTTCTAAAAATGTGCTTCTTGTATTTTTTAAATGAGGCTTTGCCCCAAAGCCTAATATCTTTGTTTGAGGTGGAATCTTCTTATTAAAATGGTCCTGAAGCTACCACTAAAGAATCAGGCATGAACGAACATAAAATCGTCTGGATTTGAGAAATGCGCAGGTATTTCATAGAACTTAGCTCAGCGCAAATGCGGAGGCAGTCTGTTTTCTAACTTCTTAATATTGCATTTTTCTACTTAAATAATAACCTGTTTGTTAGTATAACTTAGTGGGTAGAGATGAGGGGGGAATACTGACTGGCTGGAAATGACTGAATTTGGTTGGTAACCCATTATATGTGTTTCATTTGGATCACAACATCTGTTTAATGTCACAATTGAATTGGCCTTTTGCAGAGCAGACATGCCCTCACTTATTGTCTTATGGCTGTGACAGGATAATTACAAGGGCAATGTTATTCGACTCTTAGCCTAACACAGACTATTAGACTGCACAAAGCATTCCAATTCCAAGAAAAAAGTTTTTCAAGCCTGGGGAATAAAGTACCACCAATGTACAGACCACTGAATGTTTCTGGAATATTAATGTAGATAGCCAGACAGAGATTGAATAGGGAAGGAAAAGCCACCAGGCACTTTAAAGAGGAGCCAGGAACAATCCTACAGGTCCAAGATGCTATGAGAGAACCAGTTTCATTTTTAGTGTCAGCCTGGCTGTCCTCAAAAACTAGAAATAGATTTTGAGGGGAGGTCTGTTATGTATACTGCTAAGTCCAGTGTCTATTTTGAGAGGCGAGCCTGTAGATTTAACCCAAGTCGTGGGCTAAATGCACAAGAGGCAGCAATTATCCTACCAGACACCCGAACTCCCCAGCCTAGCACTTTAGTCCTAGAGTTGGGTGGGCAGGGTGGGGAGCCTCCTCCTTCACAGGACCTTTGAATGCCCATTAGACCTATGGTCCAGGACTGTCCAGTCAGAGGTCCTAGATGCCCTGCAAGGGACAGTCACAGCTCCCACTCCACAGGGATGGAAAATGCCCCTGTGCCCTCAAGATGCTGGGATGCCTCTGCCTTCCGCAGTGACACCCCCTCACCCAGCATGACTCCTCTTCCTTCAACCCAGCCGGAAGAAACCCAAGCCATCACTTACTCAGTCTCCAATTTACTCACCTCCAATCCCTTATGTATTTATTTTTAACATTCTGATTCTAAAACGTGAAATGAAATAAATACCGGTGGGGAAAATAGAGCAAAGTTGGAAATAAGAAGAACCTTCTTCATGCCTCAGGGCTGAAGAAAAGAAAAACACTTTTGTCAAGAGCCTGCTCTGTTTTAGGCAATGTTCGGATGCTTCATTTCATTAAATCCTCACAATAACTGTGTAGAGAGTATTATTCCCACCTCACCTATGGGGAGACTGAGGCTCAGACAGGTTGGTGACTACCTAAAATCACACTGCTAAAAACGACAGAGCTAAGATTAGGTCCAAATTTGTCAAATTCTTCTAGGAAGGCAAGTATGCTTTGCTGGTGAGGGCTGTCAGGGGAAGCCCAAGCAGCTCTGTCCTCCAGCTCCATCTGTCTTCCAGCTTCCCTGAGGAGGATGAGTTGAGGCTGAATCTGCCAGAAGCTGTGCCTGGAGAGCATGTGTTCACCGCTAAGGTCTCCTACGGAGGTCCTGGGCCCCACAGGCTGCTCTGCTCCCCTCTTTTCCCCACTCTTTATCTCCATGCCTGCACCTTCTCACTCCTCTGACCCCAAACTGTTTGATGCTACAATTCCAGAACCATTGGCATATGCCCTTTCTCTCCCTGGGGTTACCACCCTTTCACCACATGCCTGGGTTTCTCCTTTCTGTCCCATCCCAACATTATTGGGAATGTCATAAAGACGCCTCCAAATAAAGCAGGAGATGCATATCTAAGGACATGCTAGATGTGGCTCCAAGGTGTGAAGAACCGAGGGCCTGGAGCTTCCAAGCCACTGATGCCCTGATCAGGGTGGGAAGGAGGAGAGGTGGATGCTGAGGCCTTGGGCAGGGCCCAGTATTGGGTCCTCCTCTATCTTGGTGAAGGGCAGGAAGATAAGGAAAAAAATGTAGAGAGAGAGAAGAGGAGACAGAATTATGTAAATGGCTTTTATCCAGGGAAAAGTTTATGATTATAGAAAAGTTTTTAAAAATTAGATTGATTGTGTAAAATTAATGCTGATGAAATGACAGTCTTTTGTAAATTCTGTATGACTTACAGCTAACTGCCATGCAGCTCAGTAACAATTGTGTATTTCATTAAATACAGTTCCAAATAAGTTCACCGTACATTTTACTTAATTAACATACATTTTTAAATCTTTCTATACTCTCAGGACTAATAAAGTTTCTCTTGAATACTAGCTTCTGGCATGATTATCAGATCATCATTGAGGTAAATAAATACACGCACACACATACAGGGTAAATAATGTGTTTATCCTATGACTCTAACATTCAGAGAGACATAGATGGAAATCACGCTTTATGAGAAAAAGTTTTATCTTTGGGATGTGTATTAAGCATGTAAAATATTGGCAAAGTTTTTACTGTGCTGAACTCAAGTCTGATACATTTAGTAGCTCATTACTCCAATTTTAATGTAGGGTTGCAGAACACTGAAGTCTCATAACCTGGGTCCTACCTTGTTCTAAATATACCTGACATCCCACACCTTCTAAATAATTGAGCTAATTCATTTACAATGCTCTGCTCAATTTCAGTAAGATGGAATTTAGTTTTTGTTTTGCTGTTTAAAGCCAATGAACTTGCAAATGTACTTGGTTGAAAATGCCTTTTAATCTTAGAAATGAAAAAAAAAAGATTATGTATTGCTACTTAAAAAATCTAGGTGAATTTTTTTCTCCAACTAAAATTCTTCAGAAATTTAAAAGAAGCTGCTGTCTTTGAGGGAGATTATTTCACAGAACACACATAAAAACATTTTTTAAATAAAAATGTTATAAAATTGTGAACTATTAAGGCATTTATTCCATAAATTCTGCCTAAAATATTTTATATTTCCAAAAAGTGGAAGGGGAGTACAGTTTGTTCTTTATAGAGAGCCTCTATATCAGAGACATATGTAATGTTCTCGAAATATTTCTTGATTCTTTCAAGCAGCAGTGATGACTTATTAAACAAGGTCTATGTAGCTCTACAGGAGCAGTTTGGGACCCTAAAGAGAGAGGAAACATTTCAGGGGGACCATTGTTCCCACTGTCTTCTCAGGTTAGAGGTCAAAGGTCAAAACATAATTTTAGAGCCTGACACAACTGGGTTTAATTTTTGGCCCTACCACTCACTTACAGAGGAACCTGAGCAATATCCTTACCCTCTTAGCCTCAGTATTTTCTTTGGCAAAATGAAGATAATACTAGTATTTGCCTTTGATCTGACTGTGAATTTTGAGTGAGGTAATGTACATAAGGTACTTAATACAGTATCTGGCACATTACAAACATTCTATAAATCTTGCTTAAAATTGGCACTTTACCTCTTTATCTTGGTTTTAATGTCTTCCTTCATGAAAATCTAGGCAATATTTTTTTTAATTTGATATTTTTTTAAATTTGATTTTGATTTGATTTTAATTTAATTTGATTTTAATTTAATATTTTTTAATTTGATTTGATTAATAATTTTTTAATTTATTTTTTTAATTTAATATTTTTTTTAAATCTGAGGCTCAAGTGATCCTCCTGGTGGGTAGTAATTTTAAACCTGTGGTGTATTTCATATGATCTTAGACCCTCTTTCAGCCATTTGAAATGCTTTTTTTTAACCTGTGTTTAATATTTATTTTTCTCGTAGGAGTCATAGGTGTTTTCATGAATATGACTATCTACATGAATGTGGGTAAACATCCATTTAGCTCATGGAGACATTCAAGCTGGTTTCTTAATTGACTCATAAAGGCCTTGAGAAGCTAACATTAGTCATAAATAAATACTACCTGATGGCCATTCTGGAAGAGAAACCTAGTGTGCCATTCATTATATGGAAAAAGGTATACGCCTGCTGGTAGCAACGTATGCCCAATAACAATCAACTGTTAGAAGATGCATGTAAAAAAGATGGACTGATGTGTCTTCTCATCCTCCATAGTATTTAAGAATGTTCAAAAGTGAGAGGTAGAGGGTAAAAGGAAGGTCTTTCTGTTCTATTTCTACCTATGACAAATGTTGTTGGTTGATAATCTCATTTTTCCTTGCCTTGAATTTGGGTGGCTCTGAGCTTCAGGCAAGTCTGTGTCCATTTCTAGCCCCATGGGGGAGGATGAATTGAGATTACTTTAGACCAATTACTGTAATTGCAGTCCTCCTACCAATGCAATGATTGGTGTGGCAGAGAGCATGTGACACAATTCCAGCCATGATACTTGTGGGCCAGTGTGCAAAACAGCTGCTGGGAAAGGATTGCACTTTCTTT